GGAGATCGTTTTCGTTTCTCATAGAATCCATGAAACATGAGTAGATTTTTGTTTTACTTAATTTTCCTGAGAATAATCAGGCGTGACTTGTCGGAAAGCAATAATAATGCTTATAATTTATTTGCCTGCATTTTAAACGTTGGTAATATCGTATCGAAGAGTTTATTTTCTTCCGTTCTTCCATTTGCTAACACACCAATTTTCATTCTATTTTGCGGGTTTTTTTCTAAACAGCCATTGCAAAGAGCTTAGGTTTTCCCAACTTCTCATTGTTTTTGTTGCTTGTTCTCCATTTTACAGGATGTTTGAACTATTGTTTATCTCCATATTTTTTGTTACGATAGCCCTAGCTCCACCACACTTTTTTACTCACACCTTTACGAAGCTTACCTTAGATATCCGAGGGCGCTTGATGTGCGTTGATGCTGGGCGCGTCGTCTCTAGACCCGTCGTCGTCAACGTCTCCGTGGCATTCTGCACCTACTGCTGTCGGACATCCATCTTCTAGTTCGAGACCATCCAAGTCGGTACCATCACCTGGGAAGACGGAAACGGACCCTGCTACTTCAACCTCGCATGACGTCAAAGAGGAGTATTCTCGTAGGTTTCCTTTCTTTTGTAAGTGATCTTTGAAATTTTGAAGTGTGATGCTTGCAAATTTGCATTTTTCTTCGGTGGCAAATATAGGTAACATCTGACGATTTTCTTCGTTTGGGCCATTTAGTATTTTTCTGTTGAACTACATCGAATTGCTCTGGATATTTTGTCGAAATTTGTAACTCTGGGGACAGACACCGAAGTAACTTCATCTTTTTTCGAAACATATATAACAGTAGTGCTGGGAGAATTCTCTTTATCTTGGCTGTTTCAAAAAATAAAAGCTGAGATTAGGAAAAGGCAATGTCTCTGACAAAGAATTCCAACTAGCGACAGTGCAGAAGTTTAATGTGGCTTTTTGTATATCGACACGTAGTCGTTTTGGTGCTTTGTGTTATTGGAGTGAAAAACCTGAATAGAGTTAAAAACAGCTTCAAAACCAGTATTAACTTCGGTGGTCTGTATAGTTTTGATAATGAAGAATATTTCTTAACCAAAATGATGTAGCTACTTTGTTATACTTTCTGTAAAATTCTAGCTGAGGAAAACTTCCATTTTGAGCTCTTCCTGGCAGTATCCTAAAGTTTAATTCATCTTCTAACGTGGTAGACCGTCGAGTCATTTCTAACTTAATATGTG